CATTCAAAAACTTGGACAGATGCAAATACCTGGAGAGCCGAATACAAATCTGTTCAGATGTTCTGCCATATCCAATCGATAACAACGCTATCTGCGCAGCTCAACTTCTTCGACAGCAATTCGAAGTACCGAAGACATGCCAGTCCTCAGTCATCTTTGCAAGAGACTATAATGTACAAGAAATTGCCTCCAATATGTGGTTGATCGCTTTGTCAGATCCACTACCAATAACGATCAAGTGTTCCAATAGAGAAACAATCACGAAAATAGCCAATACCAATTCGATCCTCACACTACAACCAGAATGCAATGCATTTATAGGAAGCACGAGAGTACACGCTAAGTACTTGGTCAGTTCTTACAAGAATGTGACCTACAGAAATCAACCAGTCATCATCCCATACGAATGTTGCAAACACCTACCTGAAAAACAGAATGTTCCAGAGCTAAAGCCACTTAAACTAAGCAAATTGGATACTGAAGACCTGAATATTGCCCAGCACAAATTGAGTCAATATTCCGATGATTTGGACAAGTTGATCAATCAACCATACGTGACCAAACACATTTCTTGGTTTACGTATCTTACGATCACCCTGATAATCCTCCTGATTGTACTCTACTTCTACTGTAAGTGCAGACGTAGAAGACCAGCAAGAATAAGCATCAAGGCCTCAGACAATTCACCCCCAGCTCCACCAGGAACATCAAGGACACCCTTCAGATCATCCCTTACCAGGTTCATTCCCAGAAGACGCCCAAGCGTCAACATCCGAGACCAAGAAGACGACTTCGAGCTGACATCATCCACCTCGAAGGACCTTCATTAAAAGTCGCTGCAATAAGCACCAACTTTTTATTATGATGGGGAGTTGTTATATGCTAAAATCAGTTCCCATTGTTCTCAGTAGTATCAACTTACCAGCGATAACAATTCCTCAGAACATGATCTTGACCTTGAAGTCAGCATCCGCAGAAATGGAATATAATATCTGCTGACGCTGGCATCAGCATTATTTTTAATATAAATTCATTTTATATTGTATCAAAAAGTCAGTCTTGAAATAAAGCTCATTGTATAAACTTAATCTATGCCGGAATAAATAAAATTGTTTTTTAAAAAGTCTATTTCGAAAACCACGAGATAACATGTCTATTGAACATTCTATTATTTGTGAATCGCGATTCATTAATCCACAATACGCGAAATGGGAATTCTTCACGATATTCATTGTTATTGCACTGATCAATGAACCAGTTACAATAATTTAATCTTCTCTCAGCATCTCCTGGTCGTAGTGCCTGACTAACGTGTAATTTATATGGGTGGTATTTTCTTTTTCTCAAAATACGGCTTACTTTCGACTTTGATATCCGTGTATTTCTTTGAATTTCTCTTGTGGAAGTGTCGGGATTTTGTGCAACTTGATTCAATACGTCCTCTACACCAGCAACATCCCTTGGTTCCTTATTGTGCTTCAAAAATGATCCATATGTTCTCAAATTAACTTCAAGTCAACGAAAAATAGTCTCATGCGGCTGGTGACGCTCAGGAAAACCATTTAAATGATCATTTGCTGCATTTCTTGAATTTCTCAAATTTCTTATGTAACAGGAAATCATATCATATCTTTCTTCATTATTAAAGTTATTCATTTTCAGCTCAGATATTCAAAACCAACTTCACACGAATCTACATGACATTTCGATAGATATCTGTCATTTATTACCTACCATACCTACTTTGTTTCTAACATCATCAAATATGTAGAAAATAAGGAAGGATTTTTGAATACTTCTTATTATTACAAGCCTTTATTTAGTTTCACTTGTCCTGGTGGCGTTATACCAAACCCCCGTGCAGTACAGAGCAGGCCAGGTTTTTCATGCTCTGAGTTGCACTGGGTTTTGCTTGTGATTTCGTCCTACACAGCGCAGGCAAATGCCAGTGCGATTCTGCACAGTTTTGGAACTCCGCCTGAGAGTCGTTCAGCGAGAGAGCAGATTGCAATGTGTTAATCGTGAGCAAAAAAACAGATTCACGCATTTTCAACTTGCAAGCTAGGTTAGCTTGCTCAGGTTAGGTTTGTGTGTCGATTGCGAGCGAAAAAATAATTTACGCATTTTTGACTCGCAAGCTAGGTTAGCTTGCCCCGAGTGATTCAGAGCATGGAATACACGGCGTGCTCTGTATCAACACCAAATGTGATTCAGACTATGAAAAACACGGCGTGCTCTGTAAAGCACTGGGGTTTGGCAATACGCGTCCCGAATATGTATGACTGTAATCAAATTTTGCAAGTGAATTTTGACTCACTTCTGGCCGTCCTATCAACTTGAAATTTGGCAGATGTTCGTAAATCCGGTGACAATACATTATGAAATTTTTGTTGAAATTGGAAGAAAAAGGCTGCTCCAAGATGGCGGACAAGATTTGGTCCGATTCCATTCAAAATTGGTAAGTGGGGGTTCTTGAGGTCGGATATCATGATTTTTTTGTTAAAATTTATAAATTCCAGATGGCGGCTTCCAAATAATTCTTCCTTTTCGTATAAATGACGATAACTCCGTTGTTATCAACACAAAACTATCACTGCGTCATATCATCTGTAAGAGAAAAATAGGTTTTTCGTAACCAAGTCATACTAGTGAGCTATGACCAATATTTGAAAAACTGAAGTTGGTGCTGATATCTCAAATTCCAGAAGAGTTAGTATGAAATTCATATTTTTTTCGAAATCACTTTGAAAAACTGCCATGAGAATGTGAAATTCTTATCTGAATATTTTCATAAATAAAGAAGTTACGGAGGAGGCATGAATCATAATCTGTTTTTTGCGTATATAACAAAAACGAATAGATTTTATCAAAATATTCTTTCACATTATAGTTGGCCTTGACAAACTCCACATTTGGTGTTATTTAACCGACCTCGTATCTCTCACCGTTAAAAAGATAAGTGGGACACACTGTATATCTTTTGTATTCAATTTGTATTATGTTCACTATAATTATTAGTTTTGAATGTCTCCGATACTGAACTTTTCGTCATATATTATAATTTCGTGGTAATTGCCTTTCAGCTTGGGGGAAAATGAAGTGTATATACCGTACTGAGTGATTCAAGTTCGCTGTTGTTTTCTTCCTAACCGAGCAACACCTACTATTTCCACCAACCCCTGAGAGTCTCGCTACAAGATGATGATCTGATTGATGTTGAAATGTGGCACTTGTTGTTGAGGAGTGAACGGATAAAAGACGTACGATAAAGAGTGTGCTCGAAATCTACACTTGTGAAATAATAAACATACTACTTCGGATTTTTTTTCTGATAGAGATTTTTTTATCACAATGTTGTCTAACAAGTTGACTATCGCGCAAAATCAGATGGAAAAAATTAATGCCCTGCCGTCAAGTAATTGATCTTTGCATTATCACATCATAATTGGGTCATTGAAGGTAGCAGTTGACGTCTCAGGGTAAAAAAAAAATTGTAAAATTTGTATATCGCAACTTCAAAGTTGGGAACCAACTCCCCAGAAGTCGAAACTTGTGCGGGGTTAGGAAAAGCGGGACCTACAGCTTATAGTGGAATCCGAACCACTTCTAGGGCATCGAGGTGCTGCCAGGATTACAACCATGAATCACACATTTTAAAGAAAAATGCTCAGCCGATAGCCGGATTCGAACCGACAGTACCTCTGCATCGTGAACGGCTATCTAGCGAATTTCAGCGCATAGACAAACTCGGCCACGGGTCCATGGATTGATCACAAGAGGGTTTTTTTCACGAAATGGCGTGCATCGACTGAAGGGTAATTTTTCATGCGTATTTAACCTGAACCCATATAGCCCTCGACGTCATGGGGACATCCAGTTTGGGTCCCATTTAGGTCTGAACGTCCGGGACCTTTTCAAGACGTACTGAAAACGTCCATTTCTGGACGAACTGGGTACGTACGATTCCGATGTACTGGGTACGTCCAACTCTGGAACGTTATCGACTTTTTGTTTACGGGATTGAATAAATTGTTCAATGATAATCGAAATAATTGCATATATAATTTCTACCCTCAATCTCTAAAATCTATTCATATAGGACCCTTGCAAACATGAACATGATACAATGCTCACAATAAATCCATTATTTATTGGCCCCACCAGATCACAAAACATCTATTTAGGTATTCTCTGCCGTGATTATCTAATTCTCCAAAAGTATCGATGTGATGAGTCAATCGGCATTCGCACATAATATTGCTTGTTGTATACTGTATATAAACTTGTGTTCTTCAGAGTAATAGGTTGAGCATCTGCCTGGTGATCTAACAAAGGTCGTGAAGGTCGTGGGATCGATCCCTGGCAGAAGCGTTTTTTTTTTTTAATTTTTCTCATTCAAAATAAGACTTTCTACTTTTTCTGAATCCCTTTTTCGACTACCTATCTGAGTAAAGAGATGCGAATCTACGTTGATTCATGTATAAATGGTCCTGAATGGACGTACTGAGGATGTACTGAGGATGTACTAACGCGCGAAATCTGGACGTCCCCAGTACCTACCTGAACGTCGACCGTACCAAATCTGGACGTCCCCATTACGTACGAAACGTCTTGGCCGGACGTTCTCAGTACGTTTTGGGGACGTACTCGTGCTATATGGAAAGTTGTCAAGAGGAAAATATCCAGGCAAAATATTGACGTTACAACCTTCCTGACGCATTATGAGTGAAGGAATTCTGAAAACAAGATTCAGGTTGTCGTGATTTTAGACAAAGCCTTCTGGAAAAGAAGATATCACTTCTTCAGGATTTGCGATGTTATATACGATGTTACATCCCGAGAAGTCAAACACACTTTTTTTTCGGAAAATCGAAATGAGTTTTCGGAAATAAAACCTTCAGAAGATATGCGGATCAATATTCATTCAGAAGTTCTCCACATCTTCATGAGGTTTTGGAATATTGAGAATTGAAATAGTGTAATATATGATCGATCTAGAGTGAAGATGAAATAAGACACCTTGTTTATTATAGATTTAATAAATCTGTTACATGAGATAGTTCCGTTTCTTGTGGACTCCCATTGATACCGAGTGAAGAAAGAAGCGTGAGATTATCCATTTCATCATAATTTGGTTCACTCTGAATATCTGACGATTGAAGATCAGGAAGCAACGTGTCTGAGGTGGGTTCGCCAATGATTGTTTTCTCGAATTGAGAAATGAGATCACTTTCGTGTTCTGATATCTCCTCCCCGTCTTCTATGTGTTTATCTTCCTCGTCGGTATACTGAAAATAAAAAGACATTAGTTCAATCATGATGTAATATAGAATCAGGATATCGAGTGGCTTATGGTAGAATCACAATGTGGTGTGGTTCGACGCATCCCAGGTAGCACAGGTTAGTGGAATTACGTCATAATGACGTCTTTTTTGGGTCATTATTGGTCAATGACGTCCTCGACTTCAGAGGGACCTAAAAATGACGTCATAAATCATGACGTCTTATTGACGTTCAATATTGGACGTCTTAATGACGTCCCTACAAAGTCGTATATCGTATATTCGAACAAATAAGAAAAATCAGTCGCTTTCTTACTTTTCCATCGTTTGTTGATTGTACGTACTAAATTTGTGTTTGTATATACAGTGTTTTCGTGAGTACTGATGAACAAATTTATTTTCAGCCAAATTATGCATTTCTGAGGAATCTGCTGAAAACGGCCGATTTTCATTTTCAATTTGCCATATATTTATGAGAAAAATTGAATATACATACATGTTGATCCACGTTTGAGTTATGACCATAACGACAATTTTTTTAAATTGAGCACCCTATATACAATATTACTCAATCTTTGGAATAACCATGGGAAGCAGAATTCGAAAATGTTTAACACAATCATGTGGATTATATAGGTAAGTGCGTCCAATAAATTAGATGCTCTCTTGAAGTAGTGGATAAATTCATTATTATCCAATATCTATCCATCTTATATATTTCTGAGAAAACAGGAGAGGCTTTTATTTCTAATTCGACATTTATACGGAGGAATCATCAAATATACGGGATGATACACGTTTCTATTATGACGTACACGAACATTTTTCGAACGGATATATATTATCGAATTTTCGTAATCTAATGTATATCACACAAAGGGTTTGTATACAGGGCGTTCGTTAAATCCAGCTCTCTCGTAAAATTGGATCGCCATTAAAATATAAAGATGACGTAATTTCTCCTACACGAATCATTCTGTATATATTGATTTAATATGAGATAAAGCTTGAATGGAAATAAAATTCGACGGCTTCGAGCATTATTCTCTAAAAAAAAAATATTTTCTTAATTTTCAACAAATTTATTCGCAACTTCGCAAAAGAACTTAATTCAACGAACGCACTGTATACAAACTCATATATTTTTGAATCCAGCTTTCCATAGAGACTCCAAAAATCGAATAATTTATAGGGTGTTCCTTTGAAAAAATGGTCGCGGACGTTGTAACTCAAACTTGAATCACCCTGTGTATTCAATTTTCTCTCAATAATGTTGGTAATTTGAAATAAAAATCGACCTATTTTGGGAGATTCCTCAGCAAGGAATTGTATGGTTATAAGTACATTGATTGGCTTCTTAATTGACTTCACGCGAGATGACTCAATTTAACGGACACACTGTATACAAACCCTATGTGAAATATATTTTTAAATTCAGATTTCCATGAATATTTCAAAAATTGAATGTATCATATAGGTTATTATTGTTTCCAATTGAAAAAATTGCCGCGGACGTCTTAACTTGAACGTGGATCACCCTGTATATATATGATTCTTACTTTCAAATGTGGCAAATCGGAAATGAAATAGACCTGTTGCAGAGGATTTCTCAGAAATGGATAGTTTAGCTAAAAATAAGTGTATTCAGCTTACATCTCGCCGACGCTCGCTACATAATTTTAGGTACAAATACGAGTAGCTAACGATATTGTCATATAGAGATTCATAGGTAGTAGCGATAGCGCTAGGATTCAACAGGACTGCCCGGAAGGACCATCAACTAAGTTACCACACAACGTATAGTTACAAAATGAATGTCATCAAAGGTTTGTGGTGTATTATCATGTACCAATAATACCGTATATATATAAACCTCCTAATTTTTTTTTATTTCGTCCTTTATTGGTCCTTCTGCGACGTCATTATGACGTCCAAGTATGACGTCATATGGCTGTGACATTTTGACGTCATTATAGGGTCTCTCAGACGTCATTTTTGGACGTCCACTTCGTCATTTTATGACCAAAAAATGACGTCTATTGGACGTCACTCTGCTACCTGGGATCTTCGTTCACGTAACTGCGAATCGAACAATTGCTCGCTGTCTAAGCTCGCAGTTATCAATTCGCTCGAGTCGCTGTGATCATTTTAGTACGAGTATAGACTTGCAATGACGTTATGCGCATGGAAGACGAATTCAAAATACCTGATGAGTAGCACACCATATTATTATATTTCCACCATGAAGTGGCATATATTTCACGATTTGACAGTACCTACCAAAAAAGGGGAGGAGTAGGTGTTGTTCGATCGAAGCGTCCTTCATCTCCTTCGATGTCATCATAAACCATTGACATAATACATTACAAAATGTTCACTCATCTCTGAGGTCTAGAGAAAAATGGCGATCGTTTTCGTTTAGGTACATTGGGTTTTCATAATAACTATGACGTCGGACTTTTTCTGCTCATCCGCAAATTTCACAAAAGCAACAAAAAAGATAAGACACGAATAATGTCATTTGAACTTGGCTGATTCACGGTGGATGGCACATTGATCGATTCTGGTGAACCAGACGACGAATCACTCTGAATATTCAGTGAGAAGCATATTTGGATATTCTTCACCCATCTGAAAAAATGCCATTGACGAGATAATGCCACTTCTACCAGAAAGTAGTAGCAACTTTGATTTTTCTAATAGAATACCCTGTATATTATATCATTTTTCAGAATCTCCAATAATTCCTCAACAATGTATATCGAGTGACACAGGAGACATGTAACAGCCTGTAGTTTTTTATTTGAAGAGATTACAATTTGGAATTCACAAAGGTAATATTATCGATAATGGCGCCTTCCTTGAACCCAACGACACTCCTTTTTCAACCACCTGTTTGATTGGTAGTAGACCAATTTTTTTTTTAGAAGGCACTCTGTATATTTCTGAAGTCTATCTTATTCGTCCCTAAATTCTCAATTTAACTATGTATCACAATTTGATATTCGTTTATCAATTGGCTGTTGAATTGCATTTTATTGAAATACTTGAAATTGGCTGTGACCCAAATACAATGACATTTCGATGGATGATAGGCTCAGAAATCCAAAGATCATCACTAAGACGATATTATCACAATATTTCTCATACCCTAATCGGCCCCAGAAGATTTCATTGAGTTAAAAAAAATCATCCGAAAATAACTCACGATATTAGGATGATACCCAATTATTAGAATAATTTCAGTTTTGAATGATTATATTATGACTACCTGGCAAATATGGAAGACAAATAGTTCTTTCACAAGTAGCCAAATGGAAAAAACCGAGTTTCTATCTTGATTTTCTCAATATCGTGAGTTTTTTTCAGATGATTTTTTGAAACTCGATGAAATTATTGGCAATTCAGATATAAATAATTTACCATTGTGCAACTCACAATTATATACAATGAATCAACAATTGCCATATATACTGTTTACTTCGGTTACTGTATGTGATATACAGAACACACTAATGGAACGCACTCCTCACCAGTACCGATTTGGGTTCTAGGAGATTAACAAAAACTGAAACAGTATATACAGTCTGTCCAAGATAAGGTTGAACAGCATGGGGATCTCGGAAACGGTAGGAGATACGAAGTCGCTTAAATGGGGAAAAAGTTGCGCATTCGGAGGCTCATATCAAGAGCCTTCGAAAATTTTGGAAATTATTTTTAGTTTTTGAGTTATATCGAAAAAAGTGAATTTTTGGAATTTCTATTTTATTTTTTTTCTCCGTTATTATCAGAGATACAGAAAAACTAAAAATACTTTTTCATTGCAACTTTTGATGAGGTTTAACGTGGTGATACCGATTTTTTTATGCGACGTTTCGTATTCGTGGAACTATCATCAACTTTTGTTTTTTATATACGGTCCTGATAATTTCTTCACAGATTCTGAAAGGTTTTTTTATTCTGAATTCAACAATGTACTATACAAGGTGATTCGACTGTGTTTCGACCTATTTCTATCCATCATCAATGTTTTTTCGAACTTCCAAAAGAAAAGAAGCCATCAGTTCCACTTATTTCTTATCATTTAGTGTCAAACTTGATGGATTAGTTATTCAATACTGAAAAGTGAATGAAAAATATTTCACTACATCATTCGATCAATGCAGCGTTTAAAATTGTTGATGAATTCTTACACGAATTACTTTAACAACTTAACTTTGACAATACCTACAGAGACATTCATTACAAATGTTCAAAATGATAACCATTATTTTCTGAACAAAGATATCCTCTTCTCACAGTTGTTTTTAAGACATTGCTAAGCATTTCTGGGGTTATTCTATTGAATGCTTCGAAGACACTGTCCCTTAGTTCTTCTTCATCCTCAAAGTTATTTGCGTGTACAAAGTTCGATGAATCCCCTAAGAAAAAATCCAGCTGTGTTAAATCAGGCGACCGCGCCGGCCAAGGGATAAAAACGCACGGACTTCTCTGGAATTATGTACCGGAGCGCCATCTTGTTGAAACCAACAGAGTTCTGAACTTCCGCAATCGGTAAATCATCCAGAGCTTCCTCAAGATGATTCTCAAGCGAATTTCTATAACGTTCGGAAGTCTGTGTTTCATGGTAAATAGAAGGAACAATAATTCGTGTACCAAATATTGCAACCCACATATTGAAGCCGAAACGGTGTTGGTGTCTCTCTGTGATGTATAAATGTTCATTTTCTCGTGAACAATAATGTGTATTTTTTCTATCGAAGCTACCATGATTAGTGACCATGCTTTCATCAGTCCAGATGATTGTTCGAAAGAAACCTGCAAAATTTTAACATTTCCTGGTATACCACTCACAGAAGGTCTTGCGCCTTTCGTCATCGCCTGGTTTTAGCGCTTGACATATTCTGAATTTGTATGGATGGAATTTTTGTTTCCGCAAAATGAAATGGGTTGTTGATTGAAACCAGTTGTTGAGGTATTAGTGTGTTGACTAATTTTCCTTCAAA